TTTTTTTTTTTTTTGGTGTTTTTGAGACAGGGTCTCATTATGTAGTTGAGACTGACCTGGAACTTACTATGTGCCCAGGCTGGTCTTGAACTTTTACAGTTTTTTTATTTGGGCAAGATCTTACTGAGTTGCTCAGGTCGGTCTCTAACTTGGGCCCTCCTGCCTCAGCTTTCCATAACGCTGGTGTTACGGATGTGCATCACTGCACCTGGCTTTGGATTTATGTTTCGTGAGCTGTCACGGGGACTGAGGGTGCTTTTCCGCTCGTTATTCCTCCTTCTCACCTGTGGACCTTCAGCTGTCCCCTGCCGTGGGTCCTCAGACCACCCTTCCCACGCCTGACTGCTCTCGGCGGAGGTCTGTTGGCCTTGACTGTGTTGGCCTTGTCCTGGACTCCCTGCTTGGTGCTGTGGGTCTCTGTGACTCTCCCCGCGCCAGGACTGTCCTGGACACTGCAGCTTCCTTGTAAACTTGGAAATTGGGCAGAGGGACATTTCGCTTCTGAGCACAGGTCTCCTGTCCCCACCCCGTTCCAGATGAGGAGAGCGACTGCCACCCCGGCGGGTGTCTCGCTCACAGCTGTGCTTCCAGAGCCCATGGGCGGCTCGGCTCGGCTCGGGTCTGGACCCCATCCTCTTGGGAATCTGGTTTGGGTTTAGCTCTCAGCCCTGGTGTTGTCAGTTGTATAGCGCTGGGAAGGTAACCCCCCCCGTGACTCAGTTTCCCTGTCTGCCCAGCAGATGTGATGACAGCTGCCCCATAGATTGTGGTTGAGATGGAACGAGTCCGTGCCTCTCATGAAAACCGGAAGCTGGTGGTGTGTGAACATCTCTGGCTGACAGAAACGGCGCTTTTACGTAGCGACTTGCGATCAGACGTTCCTCGCGGTGCTGGGTAGAGGGGCCGTGCTCTAGCTACAGCTGTCACCGTCACCACCCCCACTGGCACTGCTCCTGCTGCTCTGTTGCCATGGCATTGTTACCCTTGAAGCTGGTAGCTCTTGAGGCTGCCGCTGCCTGTTACCTGGGCCTCTGAGCAGGCGGCCCGAGTCGATCAAGTCCTTCCAGGGGGACAGCTGCTGGCTGAGTCTACAACAAGTGATCAGGCCCTGACTGCGCTACTGTGGCACTCATGTGTCTGCCTGGCGTGACAGGTGCGTGGAAAGTGTGATGGGAGCCACACGGTGGGCAGGACGGTGTGACCGCCCTCCGGGTGGGCCTCAGAGGTTGATTGAGACTTCGGAGTGGGGCGAACGTGTCAGGTGTGGGTTGTAGTTTGTGTAGAGGCTTGGAAAGAAGAAAGGACCGCGTTGAGGGTTTGACCGTGAGTAGAGGGCAAGAAGCAGCCTGGGCGGCCGGAAATGGCCCCCAAGGAACCATCCTTCCCTCCCACAGGTGGCGCTAGTTTGCCAGAAGCCCTTGGGGACCCGAGTGGAGAAGACCTTCCACCTCGGCCTCTGCCATGGCTGCCAGAACCATCATCATAGACCACGGGTCTGGCTTTGTGAAGGCTGGCCGCTCGGGCTGGAACTACCCCCAGCTGATCCTGCCGAGCATCGTGAACTACATTCCCTGTCAGGAGAACCCCGGCCCCAGCCACGCCCAGAGGCAGGTGAGCCTGGGCATCGACCCCTTCAACCCCGACACCTTCAGCCACCCCATTGAGCGTGGCCGCGTCGTCAACTGGGAAGGCGTGGAGCACATCTGGTCCTTCGTGCTGGAGCACCACAGGCTGGGGCACATGGACTGTCCCGTGATGCTCACGGACTTCCCGCTGAGGGACCCTGTGACCCGCAAGAAGACCCTGGAGGTGAGGCCTTCGGAGGTGGGGGCGGTGGCGCTGTGGGTCTGATCTGATAGGATTGGGCACTGGTTCAGATAATGAATTGTCTTTGGGTGATGGTTGGAGGTTTCCAGCGGATGGAGTGTAGCCCCGGTGCGGTGCTAGAGCCAGAGACAGGAAATTAAAACACTCGGTGGAAAGGGAAGACGCCGGATGCTTGTTCACAGGCCCCATGAGTGCCCATAGACGCTACCCTGGCCCTCCCTCGAGTTGCATTCTGGGGAAGACTTAACCGGGAAGAAGGTGACAGATGAGGGGGAAGTAAAATGAGGTGGGGTGCTGGGTGCCCAGTAGAGAGAGTGATCTGGGAAGCCTTCTTGGAGGGAGGGATTTCATCCAGTGACACTGGAGCGAGTCCAGTGACTTGGGGGCCGAGGGCCAGAGGCAAGTAGTATGGTGAGGCTGGACCTCGTAGGCCTAGACTGTGGGGAACACCTGAATGTTACTCGGAACCGACAGTTGGCAGACCAGCCTTAGCCAGTGAACTAAGTCTGGCCCACCACTTGTTTTTGCAAATAAAGTTTTATTGGAACATAGCTACTCCCACTCAGCCCATACCTGTGGCTGCTTCCTCGTTTGGTCAGTGGAGTTGAACAGTGATAGAGACTGGTTTGGGAAATCGAAAACATTTCCTGTTGAGGGTTTTCCAAATGAAATACATGGTGCTCAGTTAGATTGGAATGTTAGATAAATAACAGATAACTTCTTAGTATGAGTCTGCCCCAAATGGTACACGAGGCATACATATTCTCAAATACTTGTTGTTCCCCTGAGATTCAAACTCACCTGGGCATCTTGTACATAGAGGCTAAATGTGGAGGCCCTGGCTCTGGAGCCTGCTAAGGAAAGCCCTCGCCCTCTCTGCCCCATGGGACCGAGAGCTCCAGGACAGTTGTCCGTGGGGCTTTTCTATGTGAACAAGAGGATTTGGGCTGCTGTTTTACCATGGATGGTGGTGGGTAGCGAGGGTGGGAGTAGAGGGGGGCCCCACCACCACCGCAGGGAAGGTGGAGCAGCTGGACCGGAAGGGGAAGTGGGAGGGGAGGGAGAGGCCGGAGACGCGGAGGGCGCTGTAGCTTCACCACACCCGTGGGATCCGGAGCGTGGGGATGTTGGGGGCTGGGGCGGGGACTCCGCAGGGACCCATGGGGCGGTGGGCAGAGTAGAAAATGGGCCCAGGGACCTTGTGAAACCCTGAATATCAGGATTCCAGGGTTGTGACACGCGGCAAGCTTTATTAAGAGGAGCGTATGCAGCTTCTCCTACCCGGCAGCCGTATGTTTCCTTTTTCTCTTTCTACCTCCACTGTTTGCAGCCACAGCAACTGTGCAGCACCTTTTCCTTCTGTACTGGGGTTTGGACCCAGGCCTCCCCATAAACTGCATCCCCAACCACTTTTCTTTTGAGATAGGGTCTCACTAAGTTATTCAGCTTGTGATTCTCCCGCCTCAGCCTCCCAGATGCTGGGATCATAGGCCGATTATATATGCGCCACCAGGCCCGGCTCACTTGCTTCTTTCCTGTTCTCTTCTTCCTTCTTCCGAAGAGGCGGTGGAGGCTGTGTGTCTGACCTGGCCTCCCCTGCTTGCTCCGCCTCCTCTCCCTGCTCACGGGGCCCTGAGTCCTGGCCCTGTTTCCTGTACCTGCCGGGTCTTCCCACCTCGCCGTCAGAACAGTCTTCTAAAAGACCGTTGCCAGCCACGCTCCCGAAGGTACCTTCGGCTCCTGTTCCGAATCCTCCGGAGCAGCCCTTGCCCGGTTCCCACAGAGGTGTACCCAGCGTCCTGAGCCCCCCAGAACACAGCTCTGCGGCTCCTCGGGTCGAGAGCGGAGCCTGTGTCTTAGTCGCGGGAGAAAGCAGTGGACTGGAGTCCGGCGTTGGGGAAGTATGCTGAGTGTCTTCTCCCACGTTGCAGATCATGTTTGAGCTCCAGGACGTCCCGTCTCTGTTCCTGGCTGACCAGCTGGAGATGTCCCTGTATGCCTCGGGGCTCCTTACTGGCGTGGTGGTCGACTCCGGCTATGGCCTGACCCAAGTGCAGCCCTTTCTGCTGGGCCGGCCCTTGCTCAACTGCAAGAGGACTCTGGAGTTTGGCAGTGAGGACCTCTCCACTTACCTCTTCAAGAGCCTCTTTAAGGAAAAATGTGACAAGCACGACCTTTTCCAGATGAACTCTGTGGCCGAGATACAGATGAAGAGGTGCTACGTGCCGAGCAGTCTGCAGGAGGCCCTGGACTTCAACCAGGGCCTGCCCAGTGGCTCCAGTGAGGGCAGCGTCTACCAGCTCCCAGACGGCAGCCCCGTGGAGCTGATGCCCCTGGAGCTCATGGCGCCTGAGATGTTCTTCCACCCGCAGGTGTTCGGCCTGCAGGGCCCCAGCATCTCCCAGTGCCTGGTGGATTCCATCAAGTCCTGTGAGGTCCCCAGGCAGCAGATGCTCACGTCCCACGTGGTGCCCTGCGGTGGGAACAGCCTGTACCCCGGCTTCACCGAGCGCCTGTCCCAGGAGCTGAACTCGGGTCACTTCCCCTGCGAGGCCAGCGTGTGGCTGGGCGAGAGAAGGCACTTCAGCGTGTGGCTGGGTGCCTCGGTGCTGGCCCACCTTTCCAGCTACAGGTCCCAGTGGATGCCCAGGCAGGAGTATCTGGAGAGCATGAGGGTGTGACCCACTGGCTGGCTCTTGTCACATGGGCTCAGGGGACCGATTTCGGCTTTGGAGTGGGGGCAGGGTGCCAGTTGTGGGGTGGGGAGGTCCAGAGGGATTGTTTTAGGTTCTGAGGTCACATCTCGTGCCAAGAGTGGGATCCGGGGAGGACCAGTGTCATCCAGGGGCGTCACTAGGGTGATGGTGGCTGCCTGTCACCTCCCTGCCTGACAGCCGTGTAGCTTTCACAGTCGCCTTCCTTGGGCTGTCCCATCCTTGGTCATTTGGGTTTTAACTGGGGAAGAGACTGGGACCCTTTGCAAGGGTCCTGATTATTTTTGACTGGGGGTTGGGAGGGAGGGTGGGGACAGTTGAAGTTTCTAGTCCTTAGACCCTCTGTGGCCAGGGAGAGCCTTTCGGCTGCAGGGGAACCGCAGTGCCTTCCCACCCACATGGGCCTTGTTTTACGTGTGCAAATAAACTTCTCTTTTGGAAGCAGTGTTGTCTCCTGTGGTGGTCACAGCAGGGTGGCAGCCCCTCGGGAGGTGCAGGGGTGGGTGTGTGTCTGGGAGCCGGGTGGCGGCCCGGGCACAGCGGTCTTCGCCAAGCAGAACGCCCCGGGGTCAGCTTTCCTGTCTTTCTACCACCGCATCCCCTCCGGTCATCCTAGGTGTCCAGGCAAGCTCCGTTCCTTATTAAGTCAACACGTTTGAGACACATATATGTGTCAGGGGCCGTGCTAGGCAGTGGGGCCTTCCTGGTGAAGGAGACGCTTGGGGTTTCTGTCTGTGAGAGGACAGTCCCCTGCGGGACACAGAATGAAATAAATCCAGTCATCCTCCAAGGTCCTGGGAGTGGAGTCTGGACCCCCGTGGGTACCAAAAACCTAGGATGCTCAGGAGCCTCGTATGAAATGGCACAGGAGTTGCCTAGCTCCTCCTGTGAGTTTTGAATAATCTCCAGATCACTTCCAGTACCTAAAATGACGTGAATGTCTGTAAATAGTTGTGTCGTTTAGGGAATAATAATGATAAGGAAAAAGGTCTCCGCACGTTCCGTGCAGCAGCAGTGTCTGAGAAGCTTTTTCACTCTGTGCGTTGAATCCACAGTTGGGTTCTGTGGATGAGGAGGGCTGCTGGAGCTCCAGAGGGGGACGAGCGACACAGCCTGGGGGAGGAGGCTGCTTCCCTGGGCTGGACTCAGTGGGGCTCCCGGGGATGCCGGTGGCAGAGTCCTCTCCTTCCGTGCTGTGTGCTGAGGGTGCACCTCCAAGGTCCTGGCTGCGGAAGACCTGGTGAGGGTGCAGAAGGCTTGGAGATGCCAGAGCTGCTGATGGAAGGAACTGGAAGCCTGGGTGGGAAGTGCTGGTGGATGATACGCTCGCACCCTGCTCTCCTGCCCCAGAGTGGGCAAGAGGAGGAGTCCATTGTGCTCAGCCAGGGAGATCGAGGGGCTGTTTGTTACTGCAGCGGATTTGCCTGCCCTGACTGATAGAGGAAGAGGAGCCATCCCTATTTACATACATTCTGCTGTAAAGTGGCGGGATTGGAGTTCAGACCCGGGATCTGGAGCCAGGCTTGTGCTGTAGGATGGCTCTGTCCTCAGATGAGCCGCCCGGCCAGGTCCTCGGGTTCTGGTGGGGAGGGGTCCTCCCTTCCTCCGGGGCTTGAAGTTGAGTGTTTGCCAGGAGGGGGCCCTCACTCTGCTGACCCAGAAGTGCTGCCGAAATAGGAGACAGGGCTTCAAATGTTGCAACTTGACATCAATCTCCTGTTAATCAGGACAGGTAACAAGAGTAGCTCTTGTCAGACGTCACAGGGAGTTACGTTTAGTCCTTATACAAACACTGAAACGAGGGCCGTTTGTCTCCTTCTGTACATACGAAACAAAGCTTAGAGCTGGGTGTTAAATGCTCAAGTTCCCATTCAAGCACGACCTCATCATCGATTGTCAGGACAGGATTCAGCTTTCCCAGAAGCCCAGATTAAAAGTGGCAGAGACAGAGATTTATTTGTCTCAGCTAACAGATAAGCAGCCCCGAGGACAGTAACAGCTACATCATCAAGGACTCTGTCTTTTACTTTTTCCACTTTTCGCGTGTAAGTTTGTTGGGGTATGGTCACAAAATGGCTGTGGTGGCTCCATACATCACACTCCTATTCCCTGAAGGAAAATGAAGGGGAGGGATCGTGCTGTCTGTCTTTGTATTACCTGGAAGACTTCTGTTTATCTTATTACTTACGGGCAGCTGACAGAAGAGGTACGTAGGTATTGGCTGAGCTCACCCAGCCTTCTGGGCCCTATCAGAACCCCGGACCTTCGAGATGAGGACTTGCGGCTTTCCTGAGCTCGAGTGAGAGTCACTTTGGGGTGGCGGTCGAGGCCCTGGTGGCCCGAGTCGTTGCTGTGCCTGAGACCCAGACCCAGCGTTCTGGGGCCACCTGAGTGTACAGGAGGGAGGAGGGAGAGGCGGAGAGGGGTCTGTGGAGAGGGGCTCGGAGGGGAGACGAACGAGGAGTTTTCCTTCCTGATGTAGCTCTGGGCGATTGTCATCACCACTCCCGTGCTCATTTCATTCCAAACATAACATTTAACCTTTCCAGTCGAGCATCACATCTGACTGCCTGGTGTGTAATTACGAACTTTGCTTTGCTTTCTCCCCACCCACCCGCACCCGAAAGCTTTTAAAACTCCCTGGCTGGGTACCATCTCCTCCGACTCTCCTATTAAATTAAAAATAGCAGCTTCATGCGACTATGCGGGGCCATCAACCTCGCGCCGAGCTGCCGCACACCAG